CTGTCTGGGGGGGAAGAGCCGGGCCCCCCCCCCCCCGCCCCCCCCCCCCATAAAGCTGGATCCCCATCTCTCACCCCAACGCATCTTCCAACCACCTCACGGCACAGCCCCCCAGCATACCTTGCCCTGCACACGTACCACTGGCTGAGAAAGTGTCCCCATAGCCATTGCTGTCCCCTCCCCAGGCCCTGCCCACAGGATCCCCAAGACTCATGGCTGTCACCCCACTCTCACCTCTGTCAGCGCGTGCAGCTGTCCTTGGTGCACGCACACCCCCATGAACCTGTGAGACAGAGGGGACCTGAAGATGGCTGTGGTGAGGCCCAGCCCCAGGAGCTTGCCCAGCCCTGGCAGCAGCTCCGACTGGGGATGGCAGTGGGGGAGCAGGTCCTACCTGAGGATGTTGGGGTGCGAGAGGCGGTTCATCAGCTGCACCTCCCGCAGCATGTTGCTCCGGTTGCTGGTCAGCTTGTTCATCTTCAGCACCATGATCTGTCCAGACTGGCGGGGCTGCACCTGGGGGGGAGTACAGGGGTGGCTGAGCCCCGTGTCTCCACAGAGCCCCCCAGATGCCAGCCTGCACCTGGTGCCCACCCCCAGCCCTAGAGGTTGGAGCTAAGCACCCCACACATCCAAGGCATGGGGCACCTCAGGGACTGCTAGGGTTAGGGGGGGGCTCTCCCAGCACAGCAGCACCCCAAGGACCCCCAATGCTGACGACGCACAACCCCATCCTCCCCAGGGCATCCTGCTTGTCACGCTCCCTCCACCACACTACACTGCTCAGCCCTCCCAGAGAAGCAATGGCAGCTCCTGCAAGCTGTGACCCCAACCCTGCTGCAAAGACAGGCAGGTGCAGGATTGGGGCGCACCAGGGAGAGCTTTTTCAGGTCAGTACCACCCAGCTAGACCCCACCAGCATGGGGTGGAGGACAGAAGGGGCACATTGCCCCCGAACCAGGCCCAGAGGTGGCCAACACTGCCCTGGCACATGATCCCAGCCCCATGGGCCACGGCGCTCGAACAAGGCTGTATATTTAGCCATCCCCAACCCGACACTGCCATGTGAGCTGGGGGCCTGGCCCCCCGCCAGGAACAGCAGCTGGGAGTGCAGACAAGCACGGACACCCCTGTCCTCTGGCAGCCCCTGGCGCATGCAGGGCGAGGGACAGACACGGGATCCCCTGCCCCAGCACCATGCCAGGGGGCTGAGCCGGTGCTGGGGGTCCCCTCCTGAGCAGGCGTTGGTGGTGGGATGGGACCCTCCCGGAGCAGCAACTGAGGGGGAAGACACCCTGGCAGGTCCCAGCTGCGTCCTGGCACACATTAAGCCACGCATGGAGGTGCAGGCATTCCTAGGCGCTGCCGTCAGCTCCCTGCTCTTCTCCTTTTTAGTCGATGCTGGTTGAAGCTGCTATGCTGGTGCCAGCCCCTGGCCCACCCCACACCCCCACGCCCCAGGGATCGCCTCCCCAGGCAAAACACAGAGGGCTGGCTAGAGGCAGGGGCCTCAGTGCCCCCCATCCCGCTCTCAGCTTGGCCCCTGTCCCCATCACAGCAGGGGGAGGCTAATGTGCTGGGCCCTCCAGGGCTCTCTTCCCACCCCACAGCAGGCATCGCTTCAGGGAGCATCCTGGGATGCACACTGAGATGGGGACCTGTCCAGTGCCCAATACCCAGGGGATGGGCAACAGCTCCCTGCCACCAAAGGGCCTGGGGGGAAATTAGGTCTTTATGACGATCCTTCTTCATGTCTGGATGCACCAAGGCCAAACCAGCCCCAGGCAGAGTGGAAGCGAGAGGCAATAGCCCGGCCAACCCCTCCATGCCACCACCAGCTCATTAAGTTCATGGAGAGGCTCTGAATAATTCAGCAGCCACCTGCCCATGGGCACCCCACTCCGGTTACACCTACGTCACCTCCCAACCAGCTCCAGCCAGCCTGCTGGGACCCCCGGCCTGCCTCTTCCTCACTGAGCACCGGACAAAGTGCCTGGGCTTGGGGAGACCCTGTCCCAGGGTGACGGTGCAGTCCCTGATGCAGGGAGCACACTCTTCCAGCCCTGTGCGCACCCAGAGCGCCCCATCTAATGGCACCCCAGGTCCTCCCTATGCCCACCATCCAGCTCGCCCCACCCCATCACTTGCAGCGCCTGGCACCACTGTCAGTCCCATCCCCAGGCCCACACCTGCACCAGCGGACAGGGCAAGGGGCACCCCCACACCATCTCCACCATCCCTGCTTTCCCTCTGCCCCATCCCCACACACGGGGCAGCTGGAGGCAGCACCACGCAGAGTAAGCGCG